GAAAAATAATTTTCTCACATAATTGGAAGTTTCAAGATGGGTTAAGTTGTGAGTCGGCTCACTGATGTCACTGGGGATCCAGGTTCTTCCTGTGCTTCTCTTCTGCCATCCTCCATGTTGACTTCATCTTTATATTGATAGCAAGATGGCTGCAGCCGATCCAGAGACAACAACGATCAGAAGAAAAGGAGAGAATATTTATCTCTTTGGAGTAAGTGGACTGCTATGGCATTACAGCTCCACTCAACAGGTGATCAGTAGGAAGGGGATAGGACATCTTCCCGGTGGGCAGAACTTTGAGCAGTGTATCAGATTGTCCCCTTTGCCTGGAAGTTGTCCCATTTGCCTGGAAGGAAAGAAGGGCTGTAGCAAAGATCTATGTTGATTCACGGCAGAGCCTAATGTTGCTGCTAGATGATCAAGGTCTTGGAAGAAGCAAGTTTGAAGGATTTACGGCAAGGAAATTTGGGAAAGAGGTATGTAAATTGACCTAAAATAGACTTAGAGTGTGATACTATTTGTCTTGCATATTAATATTCATGAAAAGTTTCTCTTTGTAGAAGAGGTGCTAAATCATCAGGTGGACTTAATGCCCATGCAGTGGAGGTCAGTCAGACTCTTTCCCCATCATCCTGTGCTTGATTGATGGGCTCATACACAAAGTGGCTGTGGGGGCAGGGATGAAAGTTACATATGGCTCAATAACATGGATTTCTTCTCACCAAGACTGACTATTACTGCTGCTTGAATGCCCAACTTGCAAGCCGGAGCCATCAACCCTGGACCCCTGATATGGTGTCATATCCTGTGTGTACCATCCAGAAACCTTAAGACAAGTTCATCTCTTTGGACTCTTCTGTTATGGAGTGGGCAATGACTTTTTCCTTCACTTCAATAGATTCTCCCTCCAGATTGGATTTGCTTCCCTGCCCACCACACTTCTGCTAGTCCTACTATCCATAGGTTTATTGAATACCGTATATACCACCACTGTATCTCACACAACATTGCCTCCATCAAAGGAACTCACATTACCCTAATAGAAGTGTAGCAATGGACTGAGGCCATTTGGCTTCACTGTATTTAACATGTGCCACATCACCTAGAAGAAACTGGCCTACATAAAACTACCATCTGATCCAGCCATCCCACTTCTGGGTATATAGCCAAAGGAAATGAAAATAGGATCTCGAAGGGACATCTGCAACTCCCATGTTTATTAAAGCATTATTCACAACAGCCAAGAAACGGAAACAACCTAAGCATCCATGTCCATCAACAGACAAATAGATAAAGAAGATGTAGCATATATATATACAATGGAATATTATTCAGCAATGAGAAAAAAGGAAATCTTGCCATTTGCAACAACATAGATGGAACTTGAGGGCATTATGCTAAGTGAAATAAGCCAACAGAGAAAAGACAAATACTACGTGGTATCAATTATACTCGGAATCTGAAAAACAAAGTAGAACTCACAGAAACAGAGGGTAGAAAAGTGGTTGCTAGGGGCTGGGGGTGGGAGAAATAAGGAGAGTTGGTAAAAGGGTACAAACTTTCAGTTATAAGATGAGTAAGGTCTGAGGATCTAATGTAAAACATGTGATTATAGTTGATAACACTGCATTATATAGTTGAAGTTTGCTAAGAGAGTAGAAAAATGTTCTCAACAAAAAAAAAGAGAGAGAGAGAAATACGTGAGGTGATGGATAGCTTAATTAACCAGATAGTGGGAATACTTTCACAGTGTATATCAAATCGCCCCATTGTACACCTTAAATATCTTACAAATTTGTCAATTACACGTCAATCAAGATTAAAAAAGAAGTTAGCCTAATAGAATAATGAAATCACCTGCTGAAGTCCAACTCAGAGAAAACATTCTGTGAGTCTGGGGTATTGTTTTGGAGGATGCGTTGTGCACTCTGAACCAGAACTGAAATCACCATAAGGTGCTGTTTTTCCAATAACCAGTATACGCGGGGCTAAGATCTAAGGGGTGATGGTGAAAATGATACCTAGTGAACTACTTGCAACAATGTTTACACTTTGCTTCTCATTCCAACAACTCTGGTTTCTGCTGTTTTAGAAGCTTATTATCCAAGAGGGGAATTGTTTCTTTCAGGGAATACAACAATGGTTCCACTGAATTAGAAGCTGAGACTGCAGTGCCACCTCATGCCACTAGGCAAATCAGCAAAAAATGAATTACTATGTGGTGAGGTTGATAGATCCTGATCATCATTAGGTACTATGTATTAGTACATTATAGGAATGAACTACAGTCTGTTTCATTTCCCTACTGAGACATCCTTTACATTGCTTTCACTATAACAATGAACATCTATTTTTTTTGAGGAAGATTAGCCCTGAGCTAACATCTGCTGCCAATCCTCCTCTTTTTTTTTTTTTGTTGAGGAAGACTGGCCCTGAACTCACATCCGTGCCCATCTTCCTCTACTTTATATGTAGGACATCTACTATAGCGTGGCTTGCCTAGCAGTGCCATGTCTGCACCCGGGATGCGAACTGGCAAACCCCGGGCTGCGGAAGCAGAATGTGAGAACTTAACCGCTGCGCCACCAGGCCGGCCCAACAATGAACGTCTTTGTACATGTCTCCTTGTACACATGAGTGACAGGATAGATACCCAACAGTGGGATTTGTGGGTCACAGACTATGTGGATATTTAACCTTACAAGGTGTTATCAAATTGCTCTCCAGAGTGGTTGTACCCATTTGCACCTCCACCGGCAATGACTGAATTCCTAGTTAAGCATTCACAATATTCTTGTGAATATTTGTTAATGTTTGCCAATCTGATGAGCATAAAATTATACCTCATTGTTAATTAATTTGCATTCCCCTGATTACCTGAGATTGAGCATCTTTTCATGTCTGTCTGTAGTGATATTTAAAAAATAGTGTCAATTCTCAATTTTCCACAAGTGCAGTAGTTACATTCTGAGCAATGGTATGTACCATCTCACGAAGCAGTTCTTGTATTCATGCCCATGCAACAGATTTTATTCCCTAATTAGGTCTGAGTTGGCCAGTATCAAATTTAGCTCCCACAAGGATATAGGAGGAAAGAGGAAAGTCAGTGCAAGATTTTAAATCTACATCTGACAATCTACAAAATGGATACTTCCACATGGCTTTTTGCCGCCCCGATCTTGAATTAGTATTGTGTAAACCAGGGGATGCTCAGGCATAATCCTAGGGATTTTGTCCCCGAGTTCTTGTTAGTAATTTGGGTTTCTAGTGGTATAATGTGGATTGCTCAGGAGTATTGCACTGTTGTAGAACTGCCACGTCTTGCTTGTTTACAGCAAACCCAAACACTACAGTCAAGTATGAGCCATAGCAAGCCAGAGCTGGAAGGAATCTTCACAATCAGCCTGACCACAGCCCAAAATTTGCAGAAGGGGAAACTAAGGCTCAGAGAGCACAAGCCATGAAGTGGTCGAGAGCTGAGTTCCCAACCCATGTGCTCTAGCTTAATCCCCTGAGCCCTCAGGGCGGCTGTGTGGTGTCTGGTCATATGATCATTTTCCATGTGTGCTATAACACAAACAGGGTTGCTGTAGGAAGGCAATTGTTCATGAGTCTCTCGAGTCTCTGCATGTCTCAGTAGAGCATCTGTCCTTTGTCTCCGACCCAGAAGTGTTGCATCTTCTGCCAGTATCTACGAAACTGTGGCAGGCTACCTTGTTACTCACAAGTGGAGTAAACGCTGACACTTCACAGTTCCTCACAAGTGCAAGCAGTAGTTTCAGAAGATGTTAATAAGTGTTTTGTGGGACAGGTGTCTTCTGGTCAATTAGTCTTGGAAAAGCTGAGGCAAAAACAAATTTTTTTAAAGATGAAAGGAAAGGAAAGCAGTTTCTTCTCTCTTCAGATCCTTTAATAAAGAACGTTATGCATTGCTCCTGGATGTGAGGGTGGGTGGGGTGGAATGTGCTAAATTTCAAGAATTATTTGCATAGGAGGCCTTCCCCACTCCTTACTCCTGTGGAATGCCTATTAACATTGGAAATAACAATAGAATAAAACTAGCAGAAAACCATTGGAAAGCCAGAGTAAAACATAGTGAGAATAAGGATGGAAATGCAGTTGAGAAGGGTAGTTTTGACATCCCTCGAAAACTAGAATGAGATAGGCTAAGAAGCAAGCCAGCATCACCTACATGGTCCATTCGCAGGTGTGCCCAAACCAAGCGAGGATAACGGGACTTTGCTCGAGGGTCAGACTTTAGAGCAAGAAGGGGGCTTAGAGACAATGCTAACTCTCTCATTTTACACACATAACACTGAGGCCCAGCAGGAGGAAGGCACCTAAGGCCACCCAATTCATTGGTGGCAAATGATGGGAATGATATGGAAGTGTTCCTGAGTCACTAGCGTTCCTCACAGCCTCTTTGTTCTCATGTTTCTTATTGTTTCATCTATTTGTAACTCAACCTTAAGGTTTCCAAAGGCAAATACCATTTTGCTCCACTTGAAAGCTCCTACTCAGTTTAACGACCTCTTGAACATCGACCATATTCACTATAGTCACCGTGCACACCTAGCGCTGCCCATCACAGCATTCTGCCCTGATGGAAACGTTCCGTATTCGCACTGTCCAGTACGGTTACCATTAGCTAAGTGTGGCTCCTGAGCACTTGATATGTGACTACTGTGACTGAAGAAATAATTTCTTAACTCTGTTTAATTTTAATTAATTAAAATTGACATTTAAACAGCCACACTTGCCTAGCAGCCACCGTAGCAAATACGACAGTGCCTAACTGCAGTGGCCGTAAAGGGTGCAGTGTGCGTCATCGGACTGGCTCTGAGGAGAATTAGCGCAAGGCTGCCGTCGGCATCCTTCCTGTGGGCCAGGGATGAGCAGGGGCGCTCCTTCAAAGCCATTGACCCCGCACGGGCAGCAGGGGGCCTGGAGTCGCGGAGGGGGCATGCACACAGCCTGGCGGCCGTTAAAAAGGGGCGGGGCCTGCAGCGAGGCCTGGCACGTGCCGCCGCGGGGGGCCACGTAAGCGTCACTGCCGCAGGGGCTTGTGGGTCAACGGTCGCCGGCACCGAGGCGGTACCTCAGCGAGGCGGGAACTGAGAGCCATGCCTGCTGAGAGGAGCTTGATGCACGGGCGGAGGAACCGGTCGAAATCCAGGGCGCTGTGGCAAGTGCGCGCGAGGGTGAGAGCCATTGAGGCGGAGGAGCCGGCGCTGGGGCCTCCTCCGGAGAACGACAGTCCGGGACTCCAGGCTGCCGTGGCTGCCATGCGTCGGCCCACCTGGTGCACGCCTCTGCTTGGCCTCCCTCAGGCTGGGCCGCGCTACTTTGCGGTGAAGGCTTGGGCCCGCAAGCACTTTGGGCTCCTCGTGCTCGCCAGCTGGGCCCTGATGCTGCTGTTCTACTTCCTGACTACCGGTGAGTGGCCGCTCCTGGCCGGGGGCCCCGGGACGCCAGGGCAGGGGCGACAGGGCGCGGCCGCCTGCTGCGGCCACACGCCCGCCCTCCCTTCCCCTCCGCCTCACAGGCCTACCCTCCCTGGCCCGCTCCCCACGCCTGACCGCGGCTTCTCCCCGCCCCGGGCCCTCCGAGCGCCCCTCCTGAAGAGCCGCTCTCCCCTCCTTCCGAAAAAGATTGGCGTGAGATTCGCTTCACGCCGAGTGACCGGCTTTCTAGTGAACAATTTCGTGACATCTAGTATGTTCAAACGCTGCGCAGCCACCCCCTCTGTCTAGTTCCCCGAAATACTTCCCTCAGCCCCAGTTAGAGCCCGCACCCATGCCTCGCGCCGTCACTCCCCAGCCCCAGTCCCCAGCCCCGGCAGCCGCCAGCCGGCTCTCGGCCTCCGTGGGTTTCCTTTCTCATGGTTCGTGTCACGGTGACGTACAGTATTTGCCCTGTTGTGTCCAGCTCATTTTACTTAGCATCATGTTTTCGAGATTTATGCATGTGGTAGTATTATCAGTACTTCATTCCTTTTTATGGCCAAATAATATTCTGTTGGATGAATATGCTGCATTTGGTTTATTCATTTATCAGTTGATGAGCATTTGGGTTGTTTCCTGTTGTTGGCTATTATGAATAACGCTGCTGTGAATATTCAAGTACAAGTTTTTTTGTCAACACGTGTTCGGTTCTCGGGCATATGCCTAGGAGTGGAATTGCTGAGTTTTATAGGAATTGCGTGTTGAAGTTTTTGAGGAAGTTCTGAACTGTTACACAAAGTGGCTGAACCATTTTACTTTCCCACTGACAATGCACGAGCGTCCCTAATTTCGCCAATTGTTACCTCCCCCCCTTTTTGGTTATTGCCATCCTAGTGTGTGAGAAATGATATCTTATTATGGTTTTCATTAGTGTTTCTGTAATGACAAATGATGTTGAACATCTTTTCATATGCTTTTTGGCATTTGTATATCTTCTTCGGAGAAATGTCTATTCAAGTCCTTTGACCGTTTTTAACTGGATTGTTTATGGTTTTGTTATTGAGTTGTAAGAGTTCTTTATATATACTGGATATATGATATGTAAATGTTTTCTCTCATTCTGTAGGTTGTCTTTTCACTTTTTTGATAATTTATTTTTTGATGCACCAACGTTTTTAAATGTGAGGAAGTTCAGTTTATTTTTAATTTTGTCACTTGTGCTTTTGGTGTCATATCTAAAAATCCATGGCCAAATGTAAAGTCATGAAGATTTATTCCTATGTTTTCTTTTAAGAGTATTGTGATTTTAGCCTTTATACTTAGGTTGTTGATCCATTTTGAAATAATTTTTGTATATGGTATCTATTAGGAGTCTGACTTTATTCTTTTGCCTGTGGCGATCCAGTTGTCTCAGCATCATTTGTTGAAGAGGCTATTTATTCCCCATTGAATGGTCTTGGCACTATTTTTGAAAATCAGTTCACCATAGATTTATGTGTTTATTTCTGGACTCAAGTTATATTCTGTTGGTCTGTGTGTCTGTCCCTATGCCAGTACCATACTCTTTTGATTATTGTAGCTTTGTAGCAAGTTGAGAAACTGGGACATGAGTCCTCCAACTTTGTTCTTTATTCATGTTGTTTTAAGTATTCAAAACCCCTTACAATTCCATATAAATCTGAGGTTCTGCTTTTCCATTTATGCAAAAAGGCCATTGGAGTTTTGATAGCGATTGCGTTGAATCTGTAGATCACTTTGGGCAGTATTGTCATCTTAACAATATTAAGGCTTTAAATCCATGAACATGGGTTGTCTTTCCATTCGTCTTCTTTAATTTATTTTAGCAATGTTTCATAGTTTTCAATGTACAGGTCTTTGACCTCCTTGGTTAAGTTTATCCCAAGATATTTTATTCTTTTGGATGCTATTGTAAATGGAGTTGTTTTCTTAATTTCCTTTTGGATTGTTCTTGCTGATGTCTAGAAGCACAACTGATTTTTGCATGTTGATCTTGTATCCTGCAACTTTGCTAAATTTGTTTATGAGCTCTAATAGGTTTTTGTAGACTTTTTTTTTTGAATATTCTATATATAGAATCATGTTATCTGCGAGTAGTTTTACTCCTTCCTTTGCAATTTGGATGCCTTTTATTTTTTGTCCTAATTGCTCTGGCTAGAACTTCCAGTACAATGCTGAATAGCAGTGGTAAAAATGGGCATCCTTGCCGTGTTCCTGATCTTAGCGGGGAAGCTTTCAGTCTTTCACTATCAATTATTATGTTAATTCTTGGTTTTTCATAAATATTCTTTATCATAATGAGAAAAATCCTTTTTTTTTTTTTTACAGGTTGGCACCTGAACTATCAACTGTTAACCAATCTTCTTTTTTTTTCTGCTTTTTCTCCCCAAATCCCCCCAGTACATAGTTGTATATTTTAGTTGTGGGCCCTTCTAGTTGTGACATGTGGGACGTTGCCTCAGCATGGCCTGATGAGCGGTACCATGTCCGCGCCCAGGATCTGAACCGGCAAAACCCTGGGCCGCCAAAGTGGAGCGCATGAACTTAACCACTCAGCCATGGGGCCAGCCCCCCAAAATCCCTTCTATACATAGTTTGCTGAATGATTTTATCATGAAAGGTGTGGCATTTTGTCAAATGCTTTTCCTGCATCAATTGAGGCATTTTCCCTTCATTCTGTTAATGTGGCATATTTCATTGGTTTTCTTACGTTGAACCACCCTTGTATTCCTGGATTGAGCCCCACTTGGTCATTGTATATACTTTTTTTGATGTGCTATTGCAGTTGGTTTGTTAGTATTTTGTTGGGGCATCTATTTATTTGCATCTATATTCATATGTGATATTGGTTTGTAGTTTTCTTATGGTGTCTTTGTCTGGCTTTGGTATCAGGTTAGTAATGGCATCATAAAATGAATTAAGAAGTGTTCTTCTATTTTTTGAAAGACTTTGAGAAAGTTTGGTGTTAATTCTTCTTTAAATATTTGGTAGAAATCACCAGTGAAACCATCTGCTCCTAGACTTTTCCTTCTTGGGTGTTTTCTTTTTAATTGAGTTCATAATAGTTTACAACATTTAGAAATTTCAGTTGTACATTATTACTTGTCTGTCACGATATAAGTGCTCTTCTTAACCCCCTGTGCATACCCCCCAACCCCCTGCCCCAGTAGCCACTGAACTGTTCTCTTTGTCCGTGTGTTAGTTTTTCTTCTACATAGGAGTGAAATCATATGGTGTTTATTTTTCTCTGTGTGGGTTATTTCATTTAACATGATACCCTCCAGGTCCATCCACATTGTTGTGAATGGGATGATTTTGTCTTTTTTATGACTGAGTAGTATTGTAGTCTATCTATATACCACATTTTCTTTATCCAGTCATCAGTCCATGGGCATTAGGGTTGCTTCCACATCCTAGCTATTGTGAATAATGCTGCAATGAACATAGGGGTGCATGAGTCTCCTCGAACTGTTGATTTCTAGTTCTTTGGATAAATACCCAGTAGTGTGATAGCTGGTATTTCTATTTTTAGTTTTTTGAGAAATCTGCATACTGTTTACCACAGTGGCTGCACCAGTTTGCACTTCCACCAGCAGTGTAAGAGGGTTCCCTTTTCTCCACACCCTCTCCAACATTTGTTATTTTTTGTCTTGGTGATTATAGCCATTTTAATGGGTGTAAGGTGATATCTTAGTGTAGTTTTGATTTGCATTTCCCTGATGATTAGTGATGTTCGTCTTTTCATGTGCCTGTTGGCCATCCATCTCTATATCTTCTTTGGGAAAATGTCTGTTCATATTCTCTGCCCATTTTTTGATCGGGTTGATTTTTTGTCGTTCAGTTGTGTGAGTTCTTTATATATTATGGAGATTAACCCCTTGTCAGCTATATTATTTGCAAATGTTTTCTCCCAATTGGTGGATTGTCTTTTGTTTTGATCCTGGTTTCCTTTGCCTTGCAGAAGCTCTTTAGTCTGATGAAGTCCCACTTGTTTATTTTTTCTCGTTTCCCTTGTCCAAGAAGACATGGTATTTGAAAAGATCCTTTTAAGATCGATGTCCAAGAGTGTACTACCTGTATTTTCTTACAGATGTTTTATGGTTTCAGGTCTTACCTTCAAGTCTTTGATCCATTTTGAGTTTATTTTTGTGTGTGGCTTAAGATAATGGTCTACTTTCATTCTTTTGCATGTGGCTGTCACGTTTTCCCAACACCATTTATTGAAGAGACCATCCTTTCTCCATTGTATGTTCTTAGCACCTTTGTCGAAGATTAGCTGTCTGTAGATGTGTGATTTTATTTCTTGGCTTTCAATTGTGTTCCATTGATCTGTGTGCCTGTTTTTGTACCAGTACCATACTATAGCTTTGTAGTACATTTTTTTAAGTCAATAAATTATTATTGAAGTAATTTCGCATGTTGTGATTCCTTCCAGTCACCTTAATTCCTCCAAAGTTTGTCATAATCTTCAAGATAGCTCTTTTAAAAAGGAATTTTGTCCAGTCCATGGTTGTCATGTCAGTCAGTTCACAATTCTTTCAGTTGGGGTTCTTTGATCTCCACTTGAATAAGGACATACTTTAAAAATTCTCCACCTGTTGGAGCTGGCCTGGTGGCTCAGTAGTTAAGTTCACATATTCCACTTCAACGGCCCAGGGTTCGCCGGTTCAGCTCCTGGGTGAGGACATGGCACCGCTTGTCAAGCCATGCTGTGGTAGGCATCCCACATATAAAGTAGAGGAAAATGGGCATGGATGTTAGCTCAGGGCCAGTGTTCCTTAGCAAAAAGAGGAGGATCGGCAGCAGATGTTAGCTTAGGGCTAATCTTCCTCAAAAAAAAAAAAAAATTCTCCACCTGTAATCTTTAGGATCCAATTTTTTCAACCAATTTACTTTAGGGCCTAGGAGTTAAATTGTAGGAAGTTGACTGCTATTTTAGCAAATGATCTAAGATATATTATTCCTAATCATTTCTAATATTGAAAATTCTTGTTCCATCCAACTTTTACTTATTAGCCTAGCAAAAAATGTTACAGGTCTCATTGTCACCGCTGCAATACGTGTACTGTGATGGAAGCATAATCTGTGTCTCAATATATATTGACACATTAACAATTTCTGGACATCATTAACAACAGTGCCCATTTTCATCTAGAGTGAGGTTTCTGTAGTACATTTTGAAGTCAGGGATTGTGATGTCTCCAGCTTTGTTCTTTTTTCTTGGGATTGCTTTAGCTATTCAGGGTCTTTTGTTGCCCCATATGAATTTTAGGATTCTTTGTTCTTTTTCTGTGGAGAATGTCATTGGGATTCTGATTGGGATTGTGTTGAGTCTCTAGATTGCTTTGGGTATTATGAACACTTTAACTGTGTTTATTCTTCTGATCCATGTGCATGGAGTATCTTTCCATTTCTTTATGTCATCATTTATTTCTTTCCACAATGTCTTGTAGTTTTCATTGCATAGGTCTTTCACCTCTTTGGTTAAATTTCTTCCTGGATATTTTATTCTTTTTGTCATGATTGTAAATGGGATTGTATTCTTGAGTTCTCTTTCTGTTCATTATTAGAGTATAGAAATGCAACTTATTTTTGTAAGTTGATTTTGTACCCTGAAACTTTACATTAGTTGTTGATTATTTCTAGTAGTTTTCTGATTGATTCTTCATGGTTTTCTATATATAAAATCATGTCAACTGAAAATAGAGAGTTTCACTTTTTCACTTCCTATTTGGATTACTTTTATTCCTTTTTCTTGCCTAATTTCTCTGGCTATTACCTCCAGGACAATGTCAAATAAGAATAGAGAGAGTGGGCACCCTTGTCTTGTTCCTGTTGTCTGAGGGATGGCGTTCAACTTTTCCCCATTGAGTATGATGTTGGCTGTGGGTTTGTCACATATGGCCTTTATTATGTTGAGGTACTTTCCTTTGGTCCCCATTTTGTTAAGAGTTTTTATCGTAAATGGATGTTGGATCTTGTCACATGCTTTCTCTGTGTCTATTGAGAGGATCATGTGGTTTTTATTACTCATTTTGTTAATATGGTGTATCATGTTGATTGATTTATGGACATTGAACCATCCCTGTGTCCCTCATAGAAATCCTACTTGACCATGATGTATGATCTTTTTGATGTATTGCTCTAATCAGGGTGGCAATATTTTGTTGAGGATTTTTGCATCTATGTTCATCACTGAAATTGGCCTATAGTTTTCCTTTTTTGTGTTGTCCTTGTCAGGCTTTGGTATCAGGGTGATGTTGGCCTTGTAGAATGTGTCAGGAAGTGTTCTGTCTTCCCTAATTTTTTGGAATAGTTTACTAAGTATGGGTATTAAATCCTCTTTGAATGTTTGGTAGAATTCACCAGGGAAGCCTTCTGGTCCTTGACTTTTATTTTTTGGGAGATTTTTAATTACTGTTTCAATGTCTTTACTTGTGATTGGTCTATTCAGATTATCTATTTCTTATTGATTCAGCTTTTGGAGGTTGTAAGAGTCTAAGAATTTATCCGTTTCTTCTAGATTGTCTAATTTGTTGACATACAGCTTTTCATAGTGTTCTCTTATAATCATTTGTATTTCTCTGGTATCCATTGTAATTTTTCCTTTCTCTTTTCTAATTTTATTTATCTGAGCTTTCTCTCTTTTTTTCTTTTTAAGTCTGGCTTGAGGTTTATCAATTTTGTTTATCTTCTCAAAGAGCCAGCTCTTTGTTTCATTGATCCTTTCTGTTGTCTTTTTTGTTTCACTTGCATTTATTTCTGCTCTGATTTTTATTATTTCCTTCCTTCTGCTGCCTTTGGGCTTTGTTTGTTCTTTTTCTAATTCGGTTAGGTGTAGTTTGAGATTTCTTATTTTGGATTTTTCTTATTTATTAAGGTGAGCCTGTGTTGCAATGAATTTCCCTTTTAGGACTGCTTTTGCTGCATCCCATATGAGTTGGTATGGTATGTTTTCGTTTTCATTTGTCTCCAGATATTTTCTGACTTCTCCTTTAATTTCTTCTATGATCCATTGGTTGTTCAGTAGCATGTTGTTTAGTCTCCACATATTTCCCCCTTTCTCAGCTTTTTTCTTGTAGTTAATTTCTAGTTTCTTATCATTGTCCTTGGAAAAGATGCTTGATAGAATGTCAATCTTCTTAAATTTATTGAGGCTTGCCTTGTTTCCCAACATATATTCTATCCTTGAGAATGTTCCATGTGCACTTGAGAAGAATGTGTATTCTGCTGTTTTTGGATGATGTGTTCTATATATATCTGTTAAGTCTATCTGGTCTAGTTTTTCATTAAATTCCACTGTTTCCTTGTTGACTTTCTGTCTGGATGGTCTATCCATTGATGTGAGTGAAGTGTGAGGTCCCTTACTATTATTGTCTTGTTGTTAATATCTCCTTTTAGGTTTGTTAATAGTTGCTCTATGTTCTTTGGTGCTCCTGTGTTGAGTGCATATGTATTTCTAAGTGTTATGTCTTCTTGGTGGAGTGTCCCTTTGATCATTGTATACTGCTCCCCTGTGTCTCTCTTTACCTGTCTTATCTTAAAGTCTACTTTGTCTGATGTAAGTATGGCAACACCTGCTTTCTTTTATTTGCCATTAGCTTGGAATATGATCTTCCATCCCTTCACTCTGAGCCTGTGTTTGTTGTTGGAGCTGAGATGTGTTTCCTGGAGCCAGCATATTGTTGGGTCTTGTTCTGTAATCCATCTTGCCATTCTGTGTCTTTTTATTGGAGAATTCAATCCATTTACATTTCGAGTGATTATTGATATATGAGGGCTTAATGCTGCCATTTTATTGCTTGTTTTCTGGTTCTCCTGCATTTCCATTGTTTATCATCCCATGTATTTTAGACTACCAATTTGGTTAGGTAGTTTTTTATGCTGGATTTCTTAGTTTTCTCCTTATTTATTATTTGTGTCTCTGTTCTGCTTTTTTGTTTAGTAGTTACCTTGAGTTTTGTATGAAATATCTTGTTGATAGGATAGTCCGTTTTCTGATGACCTCTTATTTCCTTAGGCTAAGCTCATTCAGTTCCTTTCCTCTTCCCCTCCTACATTGTTTTTGTCACATTTTATTCTATCTGTCTAGTTTAAATGACAAGATTATCTTTGTTTTTTGGTGTTTTCCTTCCCTTTATCTTTAATGTTTTACTTGAGTATTTGCTAATGTGTTCTAATGGATAGCTACAATTTTCTGATATTGTCTACCTGTTTATATTCTTACTCAGGGCTTTGTAGCCCCTTCTCTTTTTTCAAGTATGAGGGCCTTCTTGAGCATTTCTTGTCAGGGGAGTCTTGTGGCAATGAACTCCCTCAGCTTTGTTTATCTGTGAAAGTTTTTATTTCTCCATCATATCTGAAGGATATTTTCACTGGATAGAGTATTCTTGGCTGAAAATTTCTGGTTTTCAAAGATTTGAATATATCATTCCACCCTCCCCTACCTTGTAAGGTTTCTGCTGAGAAATCCACTGAAAGCCTAATAGGGGTTCCTTTGTAAGTTATTTTCTTCTGCCTTGCTGCCCTTAGTATTTTTTTTTTGTCATATATTGTTACCAGCTTTACTACTATATGCCTTGCAGTAGGCCTTTTTACATTTATATAGTTAGGAGATCTAGTGGCTTCTTTCATGTGAATTTCCATCTCCTTCTCCAGGTTTGGGAAGTTCTCTGTTGTTATTCTTTGAACAAGCTTTCTGTTCCATTCTCCTTCTTTTCTTCCTCTGAAATACCTATAATCCTTATGTTGCATTTCCTGATTAAGTTGGATATTTCTCAGAGACTTTCTTCATTTCTTCTTAGTCTTAGTTGTCTCTCCTCCTCCTTCTGAAGCATTTCTATATTTCTGTTTTCACTGTTACTGATTCTCTCCTCAATGATATCAGCTCTGCCGTTCAGGGAATCCACATTCTACTTTATCTCATCCATTGTGTTTTTCATCTTGAATATTTCTGTTTCATTCTTCTTTATAGTTTCAACCTCATTTGTGAAGTAGTTCTTGAACCCATTGAATTGTCTATCTGCATTCTCTTTTAACTCGTTCAGTTTTTTAATGATAGCTATTTGGAATTATCTGTCATTTAGGTTATAGATTTCTGTGTCTTCACGATTGATTTCTGGGTACTTGTCCTTTTCCTTTTGGTCTGGAGATTTAACATATTTCTTCATACTGCTAGATGCCATGAATTTGTGCTTCTGCATTTTGGTAGTAGCTGATTGCTACTTCCACCTGTCACCACTGGGTGGGGTTCAAGAGCTGCATATTCTGAACACACTGTGATCCATGGGACAGCTCCCAGGTGCTGGGCTGGGGTGCTGGGCCAGGGTGAGGGAAGCTTTCTTTCTCCTGGGAGATCTCGGGGACTTCTCACTCTCCCCTCGCTGTCAGCTCTCCTGCAGTATTGGCTTGATGAAGATACCCTGGTGATAGCAGTCACCTCTATGGGGGGCTTTCCCCCAGGCTGTGAGGCACCTCAGAGATCTATGGTGTTCCCACGGAGGGCCGCCACTCCCTCCCTGCTTTCCTCCCAGAGGCTGCACACAATTCCTGTGTCTCTGTCCTTCAGGGAGGAAGAGACACGTTATCTTACCTCCTTCCACTACCTCGGTGGAGGCTCCAGCACCTCCACTTTCTGACATACGGCTGCATGGGTCTCTCAGACATCATTTCTGTTGTGTGGATGTCCTCTGTTGGAATATAAATGTTCTTTTCATTGTATCTTTGAGGGGAGAGCTTATGGGGAGAACTCACTCTGCCGTGATGCTGATGTGACCCTGGTTGGTTTTGATTAGTGTTTCAGTCTCTTTACATGTTATAGTTCTTCTGTGAAAGGTCTTCTTTACCTAACCTCCTTTCACAAATGACTGAATCCCCTCACCAACTCTCACAAATACCTTTCTTTCCCTTATGAATGGCTTCCCTCCCTCATTTCTCCTTAGACCTTCTTTTCATTACCTCCTATCATATAGTACTAACCTCTGTCATCTCAGCATTCCAAGTATTAACCTTCACCACCTCTTCTCTTAAAGCTGTTCCACCTCTAACCTCACCTTACTAACCCCCCTTACCTCACCACTCAAATGCCTTCCTCCATTATCTCCCTTCACAAAGACCTTTCCTTGTTCATTTCCCTTCACCAAGGCCTTCCCTTCTTTCATGATT